TTAGTAATTAGATATTTCATCGATTTTGACCAGATAACTCCCCGGGGAGTCCCCGAAAAAGAACGAAATCCCTAGGGACTCCCTGTGGATTCTTCTAGGGAGAGTTGACTAGGGATATCTCACACTCTCACATGCATGCATAGATCCAAACATTAAAATATTATATTTCATTTAGTTTGTCGAGAGGTTGAACATTTGCTTATGAATTATGGGCATGAGTTTAGAAAAATCATCAAGTTATTAGAGAGTTTATTAATCACTGCCAGATCTGGTTTTTCGTTATTGTTGAAATCATCTACTAATATAATGCTTGGCGAAATGCCTGTTGGAAAAAATTGGCGAGTAAGAAAAGCCATATTTTTGTCTCCAAACATTATATCAATATTGTTCGAATACTGGTTGACCACTGCTATATCCATTTTGTTATCAAGGTTAAAATCAGCAGTTGCTACAACACTTGGCCCACTGCCAACGTTATACTTCATTTGAGTCTGAAAAATTCCATTTCTATTACCTAACAAAATACTGACAGTATTATCTCCTTGGTTCGCCACAACGAGGTCCAATATTCCATCATTATTTAAATCAACTGATATCACGCAGTTGGGATTAATTCCACTTGTGTACATTGTTTGTGGCTGAAAGGTTCTATTTTCATTGCCCAAAAGCACACTTATGTTTCTACCATCGTAGTTGGTCACCGCCAAATCCATTTTATTATCACTGTTGAAATCACCAGATATTAACGAAATTGGTTTTCTTCCCGTCTGAAACTTCATTTCATTCTGAACTGTTCCATTGCCCAAAATAAGTAACACGCTGACGCTGTTATCGTTCATATTGGTCACTAGTAAATCCAGTGTTTTATCATTGTTGAAATCATATAATAGAGCGCTACTCGGGTTTCGTCCAGTAGCAAACATTAGAGTAGTTTGAAAGGTTCCATACGAACAGTTAGATAGAATCTCAACAGTGTTGTTTTGATTGGTCAGAATTAGAATTGATTTGTTGTCGTTTTTCATATTGCCTACTGCCAGAGAGTTGGATGCCTGGGGGATCATATATGTCAATCTACCTTGTAAGGTGCCATCTCCGTTGCCAAGCATCAGCATTAAATTGTTATCGCCTAAGTTGGCCGCAATCAGATCGGTGTTATTGTCTCCGTTAAAATCGGTCGTAACCATTGACCTCGGTTGATTGCCAGCTGCGTATTGAACCTTGGGCTGAACGCTTCCATTCGCCCATCTAATTAGCACACTGATGGTCTCACCGGTGTAGTCAGCCACTGCCAAATCCAGCATGTTATCATTATTAAAATCAGCCACTATCACACTGCTTGTAGTATTGCCAGCATCATAAGCCGCTAGAGTAAGGAAATGTCCATGTCCATCACCAAATAACACACTGACAGTGTTAGCTTGCCAGTTAGCCACTATCAGATCATTTTGATTATCGTTATTGAAATCAGCTGATATTATACTGTTGGGACTAGGGCCAGCCTGGTAATAGACCGATTGTTGAAATGTTCCATCTCCATTACCAAGCAGTATGCTTACGGTCGTCTCGTAAAAGTTTACTACTGCCAAATCTAGTAGCTCATCATTGTTGAAATCGTGCGAAACTAACGAGTCTGAACCATTGCCAATTTGATACGTGCCTACAACTTGAAAGGTTCCGTTTCCATTACTAATTAGCACATTTATTGTGTTATCACCTTGATTGGTCACAGCTGCATCTAATATGCTATCATTGTTAAAGTCACCCGATGTTAAACCACTTGGTTGTGTACCGACTGCTTGCACTATTTGATCCTGAAAAGTTCCATCATCATTACCAAGCAGCATACTAATCGTGCTGTCATAATAATTAGATACTACTGCATCTAAATGGGTATCATTGTTGAAATAATCGAATATCAACGCGTGTGGATCGTTTCCCACTGAATATTGCGTTTGACTTTCAAAGTTTCCAAGTGCATTACCAATTAATACACTGATGCTTTGACTATTCTCATTAGTCACTGCCAGATCTGGTACACCATCATAATTTAAATCAGCCACTTTCAAAGCAAATGGAGTGTTTCCGGTTATAAACGTGATTTCAGTTGGAAAGTTACCGTCCTTTTTGCCTAATAATATGTTAACACTATTATCATCCTGATTGAGCACGACCAAGTCTCGGCTGTTATCATTGTTGAAATAGCCGTATACCATAGAAATCGGGGACCTTCCAGTATTAGAGATTGTAAAAGCTGTAAAAGGATCTCTGCACATATTTGCTATAATATAGAGAAGCAGCAAAATACTCTTTCGTTCTTGCTATCTTTTTATATGAGGGGCTGCCGAAACTTATTTTTGGGGTTTATTGGATCGTTTTAAAGTTCGAGACTTTTTATGTGTGTTTTATATTGTGTAACAAGTATCTTCTATTTTGTCTGTATGTTCATTTTCTCTTTTGTTTACTATATCTCATTTGATTCATTATTAGTCTCATCCAAGAAACGTTTAAATAAATATCTCTAAAATTAAAATTTTTGTTTTGAGTAAATGTACACTCTCGTCTTTGGAAACATTGATTGACATTGTTAGCATATATTTTGGATCAGTATCAAGAGTAAAGGAATGAAATATATAATGTATCCCGCTACTAAAAGACGTGCCTTTTTCAATGATGATGCCACGAATTTTATATTTTTATTTGGATAGAAGGTAGAAGAAAAACAGGTACCCTTCGAAATTGTGTAGTACCTTGAGGACGTGAAGTGTACTTATAAACATCTTACTTTTACTCATCCACTCCACACTCACACTCCACTTGAAAGAATTGTATTCAAAATGATCTTTGTCAATATAGTATGTCGATAATGATAGCAAGCTCCGGTGATTTTCCTTTCTTATCTGTTTGTTCTCTGTTTATGTTCATATCTCTCTCTCTCTCTCTCTCTCTTCTATATATACTTGTGCTGTATGTAAAATAGATACGCTCTGGAAATCTGAAGTAGCTATAATGAACATCATTGTCGGATGGCAGTCTGGGTGTGAATGGAAAGAACCCAACACCTACCCGCACGCGCTTCATTTACATTACTTGAATAATGATTGACGAGCTCTCAGAGCTTATTCTTTCGAGAGTTTTCTTGAGATAATGAAATATCGTGCGTATCTATTCATTTGTTGATGAAAATAAAGATATGACAGTGACTTTAAAAAAAACAGATGCATACCCGGGTCAAGACGAAGTACAGGCCGGTTTCGGCAGAAGCGGATATTAATTAATCGTAAAAAATCCGATAGTTTCCGGGCGGAATATCGTTTCCACCGATGGACCGTGCTTTCCTACCCATTCTTACAGTATCCATTCTTCAGAATCATTAACCTGAGATAGGAAATGGAAAGTCAACTATTTAGAACGTTGTTCCCAGGATTACGTGCGATCTTGTCTAGCTGTGGTAATTATCTTTTATTTGGTGTCACCCACACGCACACCCATCAATGTCAACATTTACAGTTGAATATATTAGATCATATCGTAGTCCCATTAAAATTGTAAATGTACCAGTGATCCTGACCAATGTACATCTAATTTTATTTTAACAAGAAAAGTTCATAAAAAATTTCTCATTCTATTTTTATTTTATTGAAATTATACATTCTTAAAAAACAAACAAATAATGCCACCAATAATCATTTACTTCGTAAAAAGAAATCACCAAACAGCACAATATTCTGAATTTTATGGAATAGAAATGAAAAGAAAAGACACCAAACGTTACAATAAAATATATAATTGTTTTTAATTATTTATTCAAGCACTGAAGCCAATACAGCCACACCTCGTTCATAGAAATGAAATTCCGAAGTATTCGCTTGACCAGCTTTAACATTAATCGTACAGAGTAATTCTGTACGAAGACCATTACCATAAACTGGAAGAGTTACTTCCTGTTGATCATTCGTTTTCGCTGCTGAAGTCGTACTATTAGGCATTTTCCATTCTATGGCCAAAAGAGGAATATCATCCATAATTGAACTTGAATAAAATAGTGCATTATTACGACATGAAGCACCTTGTAATTTCAAACCTAAATTTTAGAGAAAAATTTAATTTTAATTTTTTGAAATAAGAAGTCCCAGGTAAAACGGACCAGTAATAAAAAAAATATTTTCTTTATTCGAATTTGCTTGTGAGGATTGATCAAGCATTTGCACATTCATATTAAGTTCTTCCAATGAGACATGTAATGATTGAGCTGCACATTGACGTGTTGCAGTAAGATAAGCTTCTGGTGTAAATAATCCACCAAGCCACATTTTTACATACTAAACAAAGAATTTTAAAATAGACAATCAGTGTATCTTACAACATACGCGTAATGATTGAACACCTTCGTTTATTGTTAATGTAACTAATTTGTCGAGTTGTTTCAAACGAGCTACATAATCCGACATCCATTGCATAGCACTGATAAGTGGTGGAACACGATATTTCTTCCATGTTGGCGGTGTAATACCTAGATGATAAATTAAGAGTATATAGCTAAAAGAAGCCATCGTTTCAACATACCTTTAGATAGATTATTTAGTAGATCACGTGTATCGTTGGTTTGTTTTTTACTGCCATCGCATACCCCTTGCACATCAGCAAGATCTTGACGTACTAAATGAAGAAGATTAGCAGCAAAAGTAACTTCACGTTCAACACATCGAAATAATGGATCTTTTATATTTTCTGATGTACGCGTCATTGATGGTAAAGTCTAAGAAAAATACGATCAATAACTATGATTCAAAACAAATTTGATTAACTAACCTTTGGTAATGATTTAAGCCAACTATCTGTTGTATGTTGTACGTGTACCATCCATGCGGGACGTCCACTACTATCATCTTCATCTTTGTGATCACCGGCATCGAAGTCTAATATCAAAAAGGTTAAAATAAATCATTCATTAGGTAGTTCAATTTCTTACCAATAACAAGTGTATTTTCATCGCTTTGGTCACATTTTAAAAGGTCAACTGTAAATTTACTACCTTGACTAATCAATAGTACTTTCTCAGCATTGTCAGGTAGACCAAGCCATGTTGGTTTTTCATTTGATGGCAGTTGTTTGATCCATTCTATATATTTATTTTTTGTCTTATCTTGAGGCATTGGTACCAATAATGAAGACTCGTCATCTTTAATCAATGGATACGAAGCATCTAAACTTTCTTGACAAAATAATTTCGTAACAAAAGAAGCTAAGAGACGTTGATCAAATCTAAATTAAACCGTATGAACTACTTGTGAGAGACCCTAAATTTGTTTTCTACTAACCGATTATCAAGTCGTCCACCATAGATACAAGAAGCAATTAAATATTGCAGAGCATCCCATGCAATATCCTAGAGAAATGTCCGTTCATTACAAGAAAACGGATACTATAATTAGTTATCTTACGTCTTGTCCTTCATTACGAATCCATTGATCGATGGAATCACAAGCAAATCGAAGATCACTTTCATTGATTTCATAATATTTCGACCAACCTAATGGTGTATAACGTGAACGTTCTGTAACGAGTGCATGCAGCCATGCAAGTCGAAAATAAGCTTTTGCTCGTATATGCGGTACTCGTTCCATACGATTTTCTGAGAATTCATTTAAGGTTCTTGTTAATCTTGCACGAACACCAGTTGCTGGTTCAAATACTAAACATAAACCCATGCGTAATAAACTTGTAGGAAGCTAAAACAATCAATAGTAGATCATTGACATAAAGAAATCAATGAACAACAATACTTTTGGATGAATTTCTGTCGATAAAAATAAACGGAATGCATCGTGTGGTTTTAATGAATGTAATTTTTTTTCTAATTCTTTCAACCATTGAGGTGCTAAATGAACATTTTTTAAAAGAACCCAATTGCCTTGTTTAGCAGCTGCATTAATAGCTTGTTCGGCAAGTGAAAAACCTTCAGCAGAACCTAGGTAAAAAAGGAAACAAATGTATTAATTACAAATCATGGCAAAAACAAAATTTTCTTTATCCTACCAATAGCAATAGCAGTTAGATTTTTATTCAAACTGGTTGCTAGTTCTTCAACACGATTCGACGCATCATGGCCAGGTACGGAACAAAGTAGAACAGGGGTTAGACCATGAATCTATGCAATAAATATTACAGCCGATAAGCAAGAAAAAAAACCAAAATGCATACTTCTTCATTCGTTATTTGTTCTAAATTCAAAAGTGCATCTGCTCTCTGAACGAATTCAGATCCGAAAACACTTTCAACAAATAATTTTGCTGCAACGATTAAACGATCAGGCCGAGCAGCGCGCGTCAATAACATTCTGAAACAAAACAAATCATCGTAGGAATACATAACTAGTTTTCTTTTAAAACTTACGAGTATACAGCAGTACTTATTTCATTCGTCGCATTATCCCAAACAACAGGAACTTTACTTGCATTATCATTGCTATTTAGCCATTTATCAAATGTATCGGCATTCGATGAAATGTGTCGTTCAAGATTTTTAAATGATGGAACATTTTTTGTCAAATGTGATAATGCACGTTTCTAGTTCGAATAGGAATAGAAATAAAACTTGAATGTATAAATGATGATTTACCTGAGGATCAGCCAATTTATTTTCAATATGAACCATATCAGTATTCTCTTCTAATGCTTGAGCCATTTCAAAGAATTCATTTTCAAATGTCATATGATTACTATTAAAACGATTTTATACATTAAAAACGAAAGCAAAATTAACTCTGAAAACAGACCCAACAATATTTTTTAGATAAATTCTTGTTAATTGAACAGCTAATGTTATTCGATCGCGATGTAACATTCCACGTGAAACACGAATAAATATGGTTTCGAATAAACTTTTTAATATTATATCTAATCGTTGTGCTGGATCAGTTATAGATTCAAGACGTGTATTATGATAGAGAACATGCTCGAAGATATCCATGAAAAATCGTAATGAATATTGATAAAGAAAATGAATCTATTGAATAAAAAGAAGACAACAGTAATAAATTGATTCCCTTTGTGAATGTTTCTCTTTTCTTACCGTTGATAATGATGAAAGCGTAAAGAAAATACTACTGCATGCTTTACCCATGGGTAAATATTCTTGTGAGACTTTTTCAACTTCATTCAAAATAATGTCAGTTTCTTCAACTTTTTTCATGATTTCTGATGCTTCAGTTTTTATTTTTTCCAATGTTGAAATTACTCTATGAGATAGAACAAAAGAAGAGATGAATGTTTTCTTTCTAAATAATAAATAGATTATTTGTTACTTGTCATTATCGAGTATAGTTCCTTCCGATTCATTTAATACTTTCAGCAAATTGTCTTCTAAATGACGTAGTTTTGCTGCAAATTCTCCTTGTAATTTCATTAAATCCGATCGTTTTGAATCGATATCCGGACGTTCAGATCTTAAAATTTTATATAAACATTGCGATTGTAAACTCGATCGGGTTACTGTAAAATTGACAAATGTTACACGTGAACATATGTCAGGTCCGAAATCTGCCTGCAAATCGTTAAAAGCAAACATCAATGAAAATGAAAAATTCATAATCTGAAATCTTACGTCAGCGTCACGTGTAAAAAGAAACATGCGAAATGTCGGTGAAAAATCAATATCTTTATCACCAATACTAATCAGAACACGGCCAGACATTCGTCGAAGATCACGATTAAGCACAGGATTAATTAAAGGATCAAAATTTTCAGCATCATGCAAAAATAATGTGGTACCAAAACGAAGTGCACTTTCTAATTGTTTACGAAAATTTACATCCATGAAACTATGATAATCAAAGACAAAGCATAGTTTCTCTCTCATTACACTTCTGTTTCAAAAATAGATTACCTTGTTTGAACAATATTTTTTTCTTGATATTCACGATAAAGAAATTCTAAAGCTTGACCACTCGGGTCGATAATCAATGGATAACGAGTAAAACGTTTTAGCATAACAGCATTCTCGCGACATAGATCATCACTTGGTAGCATATTCATCTCCCATCGAAGTCTTTCGTCGGCACTGGATACGTACTAATCATCAAAGTGAAGTTATATAAAACATAATTTATTCTTCGAGCACAACAAAAACGATTCTTACTTCAACGCGTGCTAAATCATGTTTATACGGAATTTTAGCTTTATTGAAATAGCTTTGCCATTGTTGAAAAAGTATTTGTCTTGTCATTTGATCGAAATAGCCAGTGTAAGCTAAAAATGTTGAAATTAAAAATCCATCGCCAATTAATGTTGCTAGTTGTGTTTGATAGTTTTCACTTGTCGTTTCCCAACGCATTTTTTCTAAACTTAAATTTTTTATTAATGCAATGGATCGTTCAACTTTCGATTCAACTTGTGACAGATCAATTTTAATCGCCTGTGCAGCTGATATTAGATCGGCATATTCAGTTTTGTATTGAGCAATACTTGTTTCAAGTGTTGCTATTAAATCGTTTGTTTTTTGCATATCAGCAACTTTTTGTTCGGCTTCTTTTTCTAAACTTTTCAATTCATTTCGCAATGGTTCAACTTTACTTAACATATCAGCGTAAGTTAATTGTGCTATTGCCCATTTCACCAATGGACCGCATGCAACTGACGCACGATTTACTTTATCGTAGGAATAATCAGGATTACTAATATATCTTGTTTTCATTTTATTTGCAATTGAAGGCCTAAATGAAGAAAAAAAAGACATAGATCGCTTTCCTATGATGTTAATTGATTTAATTAGAGAAATAATTACGTGACATCATCAGTATTGAAATTAACAATAGTTGCAATGAAATTCTCGCGCATGATAATACTACGAATAGATTTCCAATCGGTTGTTTCTTCGCCGAGTAATAAACATATGGATTCAAGTGTTAATTTAACGCCCTGCGGTGGATTATTTAGATTTTTTATTTCAACTAAATTTTGTTTTTTAATCGATTTCACAGCTAGAAAAAGAAAAGATTTACTAGCCAAAAAGGAGATGATATCTATTTCAAAATACCTTGTTGAGCTTCTTGGACAGCTGGTTCTACTTTATCTAAATCTTCCATCACTGTTTTTCGTTTTATAACAATTTGTTCTTGTTGTTGCTATAGAAATAGAGAGATTTTCATCAATGGATGTGGCGGTGGATGAACTCGTCTTACGTACAGTTAAAACAATTTGTAATTCTTGCGAACTGATACGTTTCTTTTCAGCTTCCTGTTGATCATGAACCATTTGTTTCAATTTCAAATTAGCTTCTTCATTTTTATCATTGAGTTCTTTTCGTTTGTGTGCTAACGACGTTTGCAATTGTTCAACTTGAACGACAGTTTCATGAATTTTTGCCAGACCAACCATTAAATGTTGACGTGTTTCTTCGATTTCCGTTCGTTTTTCTGCTGTGATTTTAATCTAAATATTCACATACACCATTGAAAGCAACAGTTTCTCTAAAGGAGTTTTCTTACAAAATGTTGAATCGCATCCAAAAAATGACTTGGAGTAATAACAATTGTCTTATTGGTTGAACCCCGTTTACGTAATGTATCATTTAATTTATGTAATGATTGATGAACAAAAACAAATGCATTTGTTATTGCATCACGATATGTTGGCTCGACTGGGAGACTAGAAACTAAACGAGGTAATGTTTTCGGAGCGATATACTAAAAATGAATTGTATTAATTATTTAGTTTTCAGAAGAAGAAAAAACAGCTAACATCAGCCTTTTCCATAGCAACTTTTTGAGTTAATTCACTAGCCACATGATAGTAGGCATCCAGTGACCAATCACCTAGCCAATCAAGCACACAACGATTAAATAAAGCAGGCGATGTCGATGCTCGATCACGTAAACCGTTTGCACTTGGATTCATTGTAAAAACAACATGAAGATTTCTCATCACCTTTAGATAAAAATATTCAAAATAGTTAAATCAGATAAATAGACAATTTACTTGTATAGTAAACCATTTGTATAATTCATCGTTTGAATCTAGCATAAGACCTTGTTTTTGCGCACCTTCTTTACACAAAGTTAAAAGGGCTGAATATTCATCACCTTCAAATAAACCCGGTACTTCACCATTGGCCAATAAAGTATTCATTCGTTCAAGAAAACTACTATCCATCACATTGGATTCATCAAGTAGAAAAACAATTTTATCGCCTTTACAACCTGAACGTCGTAATAAATGACGTAAATCATCATCGAAATCAGCAGCCGTATATCTGTTATGTACCTATACTCGAATAATAATAGGTGGGAAAATGAAGCATAAAGTCTTTTTTATCATTTTTACTTTCAGTTGAACAAAGTTGATTTGATTCAGCCATGCAACAAATCGACACAGTGTTGCTTTACCGGTACCTGATAAACCAATGAGTAATAAATGACCTTGTGGTTGTCGAAATACTCGATCAATTCGTAAGACTTGATCAAGAACTTGATTAAACAGTACTAATTGAATTCCGACTTCTTCTTCATAATATATCTTTGAAAAGAAAAATGAATGAATGTCGATGAAGGCAACCTATGACAGTACTAAATTCTTTTACTTTCAATCGTTCGTGAATATATTGACGTAATTCATCTTCCTCGATGGATGCATAATGTCCAGCGCGCCAATCACTGAATAGAATCGGTCGTTTTAGAGCCACATTCAAATTCACATTGCTAAAATGTCGAGCTGCTGTATCATCAATTGCCTTTTCTGTCCATTGACGTTCATAATCATAGATCAATCTAAATAAATTTCAACAGTAGAATGCATATCGCATCTAAAATCAAAAAATTTTCCGAACCGATCATGAAATAAACGTAAAGCTTCGTGGCCCCATAATCGAACTAATTCTTCTGGACTTAAATCTTTTATATGGCGGATTGCTTCATTAATACCTCGAACCTAAATATATATTAAAACATTATTTTCATATATTTGAATCACTTCTATATTACCCATCGAGTCATTTCTCTCGGTGAATACACATAATGAGGTTGTTGATCAACAGTAAATTGTTCCTGAAAAAAAAATACGTTAATCTCTGTCAAACAAAAATAATTGTGTTAAACTAACCTGTGTCATAAGAAAGAATTCAACCATGGCATTCGTCAATGCATCACCATACGGTTTCATATTATTAAATTTCTTTAACATTGCTCGATTGAATGTACCATAAATTTGTTTTAATGATATTTCACCTGGATAATCCACATAGATTAGTGGACAATGACGCAGAAATCTGTAAACAAAATGCATAATAATAAAAACATTCCTTTCGAATAATCTACCTATGTGATAATGGTTTTCGTCCAGGATCCGTCGGTGGATTACAAGCACCCACAAATTGAATTCTTTCTAAATGTATCCATGTATGATCTGATGTACGATAAAATCCTCCGTGTTCAACACATTGTCGTAGAAATGAAATAACTCGTTGTGTTCCATATTTATCTTCATCGGGTAAATTAATTTCATCACAAAACACAATAATCCATTTGCCTAATTGACTCGGGGCAAGAACAACACCCGATGTTGCTGTTTTTTTATATTCACAATAGTGTGAAAATGTTTTCAAAATCAGTTCAGGTGTTGTAGCAGACGAAAAATTTAAACCAACAACTTCACAGGCTGGTAATGCACGAAGTGCACTGAATAAAGTCATTGTTTTACCACTAAAAAGTACAAGAAATGATTTTTTTAGAAAAATCGTTTTGGTTTTTTAATCAATATGTTTTACCTTCCTGGCGGGCCACACAGAAGAAGAGGTTTATGTTCATTGAGCCATGTATAAAGAAGTGTTTCATGTCGAATTGTATCTATAGTAGGTATAACTAAATCACTTGCATCAACTTTACTTCCTTCGAGTTCAATCGATGGAACTTTCAGCAGCCAAGATTCCCATTCACCCTCAGAGTTAACCTGAAATGTAAGAGCAAAGAAATCGATCCTAAAGCAAAATCGTGAAATTATCGAGTTATTACTTCAAAATCAATAATTGGTAAACTTCGATCAGCTGGTGGTGCAATATTATTATTTTTAATTGTATTCATAATAAATTCACCGAGCTGTTGTCGATATTTTAATTTGCTATCGCCTGAAAATGACCAAATCATTGATATAATTAAAGATTTAATAAGATATTGTTCTATTTGTCTCTCTGTGAGTGGTGTTGCACGATCATTGGAAAATAATTGTCGTTTAACAATTGTTCGTATAACATGGTTGAACATCGAAAACAGTGTTTGTAAACATCGAGATTGTAGAAAATCCATAATATGTACTTGTTTTTGTTCTGCGAATTCTAATGTGTCAAGAATTAATCCATTTTCTTTTTCACAATACGGTTCCAGCAGATCAGCTAAATGATTTTGTCTTTCTAATATACTTGTTTTATTTTCTTCGGACGATTGTATAATATTATCTTTACTATTTGGATCATCTTGATTAATAGCCTCGAAAACAGATTGTTGTCGAATACGATTTAAATAGCATTGAAGTAACATAGGTGATGTTACTGTTTCTTGATTAAACCAGACCATGCCCGTACGAGAAACTGTAGCTAATGTTGCATGACGTAAATCTTGTACTTCAAACATCTAGCAGTAAGAGTAGAATTTTTTTTAAATAAATTATATCTTAAATACTTACTATTCGAACATTAGCTGGCAAACCAAGACGTTCACCGTTGGGTAAAGTTAATAATTTATTATCGTCAAGAACTGAATTTAAATTTTCAACCCATTCAGGATCAACATCACCATCAAATATAATCCATTGACGTTTAGATAGTTCACCACGTACATTATCAATTATTTTACGTAAAATATGTGTAAATAAGCCATCGGTCCATTCTCCTATTTATTGAAAAAACGAAAGCTAAATTTCAAATGTGTTTCCTAGAAAAAGTTCATACGTGTATTTTGATCCATGTATCCATAGAGGTCATCTTTTGATATTGCTTTTGGATCAATAATATGCGCTTGACCATCCGAATTTTCAATTCGATTTAATGCAGTTAATAAAACACGCCATGCCGTTGTTTTTCCTATTGACAAAAAGAGATACACGAAATTTCATTTTTCGGGGCCAAGAAAAAAAGTCTCAACAGAAAAACACTGCACTAGCTTCATTCACTGCCGGAGTTTCGGATCAGCCGAGTGTTTTATCGTCTTTAGGAAACTCATTTGTTTTTTAATCAAAACACGAGAAAAGTAAATCAGTTTAGCAATTACTATAGCATACCACAACAAGTTGGCCCAACTAACATCAGACCATGATTAAGATTAGTTATTTGATACAATTGTAGGACTTTTTCAGTCCATAATTGATCACAAACAAGAAACATCTGTTTAGCAACATTTTCAATTTCTTCTCTGAGACGCGTCATTGCCGGTCGATTATATGTTGCATTTGGAAAAACATCATTTAGCAAACTATTCAATAGAATTAAATCCTCAGCAACAAGACGTGGTACAAAACTATCCATGATTGCTTGAATAACAATCTAAATTAAAAACAAAAAAGAAATATTCTCGTTTTCTTTTCGGTTTCTCTAGATAAAATACTCACTTCTTGTTCATTATCATTTTGAATATCATTTTTTATTCTTTCACGTTTTATATTTCCAGCCATAACAAGAACACTTTTAAGTGAACGTAAACCAAAATCATAATGCGACTGACTCGATAGTTGTTCGCTTAGGAGCGTAAATAGAGGAACAATTTTTTTCGATAAAATTTCAGCTTGACGAAAGCCTTGAGAATACAGCATAACTTGTGCAATAAGAACCTTATCGGGCACAGTCATAGCTAAACTACGAAAGAGCATTTTAAGATTATCTGGTAAATTCGAACGACCAGCATAACCAGGATTCATAGTAATAAAAATTGCCATATTTGAATTAACTGTAACGCTTTTGCCAACAAGCTCAATTTTTAATGTACCTAAAATTGACGAGAAGAAAAAAAACAAATGTGAGTTTTTATTTTAAAACAAAATTAAGAAAGCGTCGATACTTTTATTCGATCCCGATTGTTGACGAAGTGCTTCTTGAATGGTTTGAATTTGTTGTGATACAGCCGATAGCATACGTTCTTCTAGACGATTAAATTCATCAAAACAGCCCCATGCACCCACTTGACATAGTCCAACAAATATACGACCCATGGCTTGGAAGTCAAATGCTTCATCACAATTAAATACAAGTACAAATCGACCAAGAGCATTGCCAAGTGCCTTGACTGATTCTGTTTTTCCCGTTCCTAAAAACCAAAAACGTAATGACTCAGATTTTTCTTTCGTCTACGCACCAGCTGGTCCAAATGGCGAACCACCGAATTTTGCATGAAGAGCTTGTGTCATTGTTAGGAAACATCGATCGGTTAATGGTGTTTGAACAAGACGATCTTGTAAACCTATTTAAAATAAAAATCACTTTTTAAGACGAACATTCTTATTTTCATATGAACCAAGATATTCGAATCCATAGTGAAATTCTGCATTGGCCATTCGAATTTTAAGTTGTTCAAGAACATTTTCATGTTTTGGTTCAAAATATAAACGCATCTGTGCAAGCCATTCGAAATTCGTTGGCGTATTGACTTTTTTATCAATTAATGCGCGAGTTACATCACGTTTATGAACGTGTTCAATGATCTAAACATTTTTTCGATATCGAGTTATGCTAGTCGAAGAAAACTAAGTATCATACATACCAAATGTTCAAGTTTTCGACGTCTTACAATAGGCTGATCAGCAAGAACTAAATCAGCTAACATACCAAGTGTGGATTCAATTTGGCCAAGTGCTGGTTGTAAGTCAATATTGCTCTTGCGACTCAATAGATCTTGAATATTTTCTGACCAAGACACTTGAAATGCAAGAACAACCAATTGAGCCTAATAAGAAAAACAGATATTGTCAATTTGTTCTATCAGTTGCTGTCAATTTATCAAAGATTATACTTGATATTGATCAAGCCAATCAATAAATCCTTGTTTATCATTGGAATTCTTTTGAATAGTAAGTAATTCTGGAATGGATTGTGCAAGTAATTTAGCTAAAGTTAAACTAATTTCTTTTTCAACTCTAGTTAACCAGTCATTAATATTAGGGTGTTGTTTGATCGAAATGGGATTGAAAAATTTCACTTCTTCACCTTCTTTCGATTGAACGCCGTCTATTAATCCTGGATCGTTTTCATTGATAATCAACGAATGAACGCCCGCAAACATTTTTTTAAAGTGTTTCTGTAAACGTACCAAGTTATTTGAATTGCCAATCATTTCTAATAAATCTTCATCACCAATAAAATAGAATCTAAAAAAGAAATCATTTCGTAGGACACAGTCTATCGTTCTGTAATTCGAACAGAAAAAGGGTTTACCTTGGAAAAGCTGCACGTTGTCGTTCAAGATATTCTCCGAGTGCTTTTTGTATTTTTGTTAATGATTCTGCTAAACGTTCAAGTAACTTTTGTACATTGGGTATAGCAATAACATCTAATACTAATGGAGATTTTTCAACTTTTTTTAATAAACCAACAAATTCATTGGCTACACTTTGAAATTTTTGTGATTCATTTGGTAATAATTGTGCAATATCAGCCGATGAAGTAAATATGCCTTCGAGATATATCCAACGTCTTTGAACATCAATCCAAATATCGAATATGTTAATAATACGATTAAGTTTATCTTCCCATGAAAGTGTTTCAGCTTCGAATGACTGTTTTCGATAAGAAAAAAAATCGATTTAAAATCAATCGAAATTCAATAATTATACTCCTACTTTAAAATATGGAGATAGCTTCATGCTTAGAATATTACTTAAATTTTCTTTTGCTTTAGTAAATAAATCGTCCCAACTTTTAATAACTTTACATTTCTTTTGATAATCAATTAATTCTAATTGATAGATTTTCCATTGTTCGCTTATTTGCTTTAGAAATTCTTCTAACGCTTTTTCACCTTGAGCATTAATCATAACATCGCGTAATAGGTGTTCAGCTTTCTTTAAATTATCTGCTTGATCCCATATGTCTCGTAATGTTAAATCAGACATATTACTCCATGTTGTTGTTAGATCAAGAATTTTAATCATCTCCTTCCAATGGCGATCTTTTAGTGCTTCAGATTTTAATTCACTTATAAAAGGTATCATCTATGTTTAATTGAAATAAGTGAATGATTGAGGGAGTTTTAGAAAAGAAAAACATACTTTAAGATAACTTTCAATGTTACTTTTAACAGCATGGTAGGAATGATAATTTTTAACCGATGGTACCATAGCCGACATCAATGAAAGCAGTTCTTCAATACTAGTTTTCAATTTTTTAGGTTGAACAGTTATCCATTGGGTGTCTTTTAATTCTTCTAATCGATTGCAAACATTCTCAAGTGATTTCCAAACATTACGAATTTCATCAAGTTCAACAAGATCAGCACGTAAACGTTTTTCGAGATGATCGACATGTCCTAGAAAGAAAGAAAGAAAAACCCAGATCATATCGATATCATGGAGGTAATCTCATCCGAAATTATATTTTGATCTGTTGAAACAACTTTTCCATGGGCCATCTAAAGTCATTATTGTCTACAAGACACCATTGAATCTGCTTACCTGATTCTTGCATTTTAACACTTTGTTTGGCTTTATTAAGATTTGTTCGTTTCTCTAATTGTTCATTGAGTTTACTTTCATATTGAGCTAATTGACGAATAGCATCATGAGGTTTCAAATCACCCTAATGAAAAATCATTGAGATGAGTTTTACAAGTAGCAAAGCTCTATACATACACCAATCGGTTTTTTCGTCGCCCAATCTTCAAGAATTTCTTTTGTTTTCGTGTCCATAGTTTGTACTTCTGCTCGTACGTTTTCTTGAATTTTATGCAACTAGCAAAATCAAAATTAATAGGTTAAAAAACACAATAAACTTGAATGAACTTACTTTTGTTTCAATAACTTGTTCCTTTCGTTTAAGAATATCATTCATCGATGTCCACGAATTCTGAATCGTATCCACTGATGTCCAATTATCTGGAAATGAATAACGTTGTCGTTCAAGTAAACGTTGTGCTTCTAATAAGTGTTTCATTTTAATTTCATCGTCAGCTTGTGTTTGTCGAACTGTTTCGATTGTATCAATTAATTGTACGCTATCATCCAGATTACCAGACTCGACAGATTTCGTTTCAAGATTATTTCGATACTGTTAAGAACGAAAGTAGATAGGATGTAATTTTTTTGTACTAATGATTAAAATGTTGTTCATACCTCAGAAATATTTGTGTGAAATTCGGTGGCAACGGTTTGTATGATTTGTCCGAATTTTCGAAGGACATCTTGATGCCAATTATCGTATTTAACACCGATTTTCGATTGAATTTTTGAAAAATCAATGATTAATGGACCAAATGCTTTGTATGTCTCTTGAGTATCAAGTGTTTGACGAGATTCTCTATATTAAGTTTAGGATAAAACAGAAAAACGTGAATCCCGGATACATACTTAATATCTTTTAAACATTCGAACCACGATTGAATATTATCGCCTAATCGTTGAAACACATCATTGGGCTCTAAATCCCAAAGGACTTGATATTTCAGCCAACCCTATTGCCATCAGAAAAAAAAAGTTCATCTATTGTTTAACATATGATAAAAAAAGCGGTTAGCGCAATCCCTGTGGAATTAAAATGTGAAACACGATAAAACTCCTTTTCTGGAATCCGCCTACTACGGCATGTGGAGCTTCTCTGTAACGGTCTGTATTAATGTGTACGGAGTCTCTAGAGACCATCGCAGACCGTTACAGAGAAATTAATTAACTAATTAACTAATTATCCGATTAATTAACTAATTAACTAATTGATTGATTAATTAACTAATTAACTAATTGATTGATTGATTAACTAATTAACTAATTGATTAATTAATTAATTTCTTTGTCCCGGTCT